GGGACTCACGGGCTGCACTTCTCCCGGCATCTGGCAATAGTCTTAGTGCGGAATCCACCGGCTCACGTATAATACGTGACACGTATGTCTTCATGTTCACGTGTTTGTGTGTCCTGAACGAACCCTACGCGCGAAGACTGCTGTAGAACGTGTTGCAAATTAAGCATATAAACTTGACCCTCTGTTGTGCTTGACGTTGAAACAACGGGACGACACTCTCCGGGAACGATGGTGCAGGTGCATTGATGCTCAAACTGAGCAGGTTCGATAGATCGTCAACGTCGACTTCTGATGCTCTCGTCTACAGTAGATCAGTATCGATTGGGCGAATGGACACCACCAACCGTAGTCTCGGTGGCCAGCTGTAACCGGGGTCACGCTAGTGAAGATACAGTGCCATGCTAGCAGGCCAACAGCATGATCCGTTTTTGACTACCCGCATCGTGGCTGTGGGAGATTGTTGGTGTGAAAGACCGGGGTAGGCGTGGACGGGGCAGAGACGTATTCTAGCGTCGTTTGGAGTCGGTCTGTCGCGTAAGAGACAGTAGCTGCCGATCTGCAGAAGATCAAATTCCGAGACATATGAGTTGTTCGTCTTCTGGCTGCTTCGTTTGCGAGTATGATAACAGTGTCGACGCGCTTCGGCGATGGATGTCGTGCAGGGTGGGCACCGTTCGGAATTGGACACGGGGTTTAGCCGCTCGTGCAGCGTGGCGGAGACCAAGGATATGGTACTGGTAACACAAAGAACCTCTGAAGGTGCTTTGGACGACAATCCTTCGAGAGTCAGCACAAGCACACCCTGACTGTGCGCTCCCATGTGAGCGTCGCCTATTCCGTCCATTTTGGGCTCTTCCGGAATTCTGCATCGGCAAGGAAAACATTCACTTACGTCAGCCCTCAAATCTACTCAAGAAAAGACAGATGCATTCCGGTACATATAGCGACGCGCTCTCTTCGCACGCGGAATGGCGTTCATCAACCTTGGAAGCGTAGCGAGCTGGTAGAAATGTGATCGCGCTGGAGGGCGCCTGCCGTAGGCAAGCGTTGGGCAGACTCGCGCGCGTCTACCTGAGATATTCCTGGGAGAGGATTGGATAGAGAAGTAGCCCAATCCTCGTACAGCTATAGGACCGCCATGAACGATGTGAGGGGGTGAAGCCATTCGATCTTTCGTATATAAGGGGTGAGAACGCGTCGGATGATGGCCCAGGGCGCAAATCGATCGAAAGCGAGTACCCGAATGGTTGTCAGCGATGATGACGCGCTTGTCTCGCGTTACTTTGTCGGAGTCATCACGATGTCGCGTTGCGATGTCGGTTCTGGAGGTTGCAACATGTGGGGCAGCTCCCTCGGCTTCGAAGCCCGCCAAGCCCCAAAGGGCGGAAGTGCAGGTGCGGCGAGGAAAAAAATTGTTTATCATGCTGCCCCTTCCCCACTAGAGCGCTCTTACTTTCCAATAACCATGAGCCCAAACGCCATCACCAGCTGGGACAACAATCCCGCCACGCCGCTACGAAGACGCCGCCGCCGCCCACACTGAGGACTCGAGTTGAGAGTAGATGGACTGTTGCTGCATCTAGCGCCCAACGGCCATAACATTATTCTTCCACCAGGATACCCCATTTTTGGAGAGACCTGCCGAAATCTTCAGGAGCACCACCAGGCTACGTATGTCGTCATTTGTTCTCTTACCTGCCGCCTATTCAATGTCCCGATGATGATTTTGTCATATTATAAAGATGTTAGACTTGCGATACCCCTTGAGCGCACAACGACTTCCTGAGAGACTACCCCACTTACATATCCCGCGTCTTCCGAACTGTTACCGCAACTGACGCGTCTTAGTAGCATATAAACCCGAGTTTTTACTCCAAGCCTCCCCACACCCCGCCATCACGTCAAAATGTGCGGTATCATTGCTGTGATCCACGGCGATCCCAAGTCGCAATCGGCTTCGGTCGAGGTGCACGATGCTCTCTACCTCCTCCAACATCGCGGCCAAGATGCTGCCGGAATAGTCAGTTGCAGTGCCGGTGGTCGCTTCCACCAGTGCAAGGGCAACGGTATGGCGTCGCGCGTCTTCCAGGATGGCGCCCGCGTGTCCGACCTCCCCGGCTTCATGGGCCTCGGCCACCTGCGATACCCTACCGCCGGCAGCAGCGCGAACGCGGAGGCTCAGCCCTTCTACGTCAACAGCCCCTACGGTATCTGCATGACCCACAATGGCAACCTCATCAACGCGCCGGCACTGCGCCAGCGACTCGATCACGAGGCCCACAGGCACATCAACACCGAGAGCGATAGTGAGCTCATGCTCAACATCTTCGCCGACGAGCTCAACGAGACGGGCAAGGCGCGTATCAACGCCGACGACTGCTTTGCGGCGCTGGAGAGGATGTACAAGCTCTGCACTGGCGGATGGGCCTGCACGGCCATGCTTGCGGGTATGTCAATTGCCAATGGTATCTGCTGTGCTGTCATCGTGTGGATACTAACATTGTCTCAGGATTCGGCCTCATCGGTTTCCGCGACCCGTACGGTATTCGACCCATGGTGCTCGGCTCTCGCAAGTCGCAGGACGGCAAGAGCATGGACTATATGATGGCCTCGGAGAGCGTTGCGCTGGTCCAGTGCGGCTACAAGGACTTCTTCGATATCCTCCCCGGCCAAGCTGTCATCATCGAGAAGGGCAAGGAACCCGTCTTCAGGCAAGTCGCCAAGCAAGAAGCGTATACCCCGGATATCTTCGAATACGTCTACTTCGCGCGACCTGACTCTGTCATTGACGGCATCGACGTAGATGAGAGCCGACGCAACATGGGCTTCACTCTCGCCGAGACCATCAAGAAGCAGCTTGGTCCCAAGACCATGGCTGAGATCGACGTGGTTATGCCGATTCCTGAGACTTCGATTACTTCTGCGTTGTGCGTTGCTGAGGCTCTCGAAAAGCCATACGTACAAGGTTTCGTCAAGAACCGCTACATCTTCCGCACATTCATCATGCCATCGCAACAACTACGACAGAAGGGCGTCCGGGCCAAGCTGAATCCTATGAAGAAGAAGTTCGAAGGCAAGAACGTGCTGCTGGTGGACGACTCCATCGTTCGCGGTACTACGTCGCGTGAGATTGTCCTGATGGCGCGAGAAGCGGGGGCCAAGAAGGTCTACTTTACCTCGTGTGCACCGCCAATCACCAATGCCCATATCTACGGTATCGATTTGGCCTCTTCCTCGGAACTGATTGCCCACCACCGCGACTCAGCAGCCATTGCTAAGCACATTGGCGCGGATGATGTCGTTTACCAGAACCTCGAGGATCTACAGAGCGCTTGCGCACGCCTCTCTCCTCGTGATCCTGCGACGCAAAAGTTCGAGGTTGGTGTCTTCTGCGGAAAATATGTCACACCCGTCGATGCTGGCTATTTCGAGCACCTCGAGAGAATACGCGGAGAGAGCCGCAAACAAAAGGTCATGGAGAAGGCACGAGAGGCTGTCGTACATGGTACGGCCAATCCTCAACAGGTGCGCATGGCTGCCAAAGGCGTTGTGAGTTGAGAATTGAAAACATTGTTTGGCAAGACTCCCTGTGACTAATGCGTATTGCAACAGGAGGTCGACCAACACGGCAACGTCATCCCATCGGATGGCAATGGGCAACCCGATTGGCACCCAGCCAACGGTGTCAGCCAGACATCCACGAGTGATGCCCTCGCTAACGGTAACGGGGAAGAGCGACGCGTTACCAGCAGCCAGGACATCAGCTTACACAACATGCACGATTACAACTGAGCAGCTACTCAATAGTTGTAAATCGTCGTTTTGGTACTGCAGCAAGGATGACATTTTTTATTTAGACGATGATGATACACACGTACCAGGAAAAGTTACGAAAGAGATGATTGGGATACAGCGCGGGACTGCCAAGGCGTAGGAGGAGATTTGTGCTCTTCAGAGACTTTCCGAATGTAGATCTTAGTTCTTGGAGGCCTCAAGACTAGGGTCACGCTGAGATCGAGCACGCACCTCTGCTTATGCTCTCTCGCTTCAGGATACGAATCCAACAGTCGTTTGCACAAGCCTTTTGGCCAGGCCTGTCAGCCGGGTCCTTCCGTCCCATTGGTGTACATTTGGTGGCCTCTCTGCACCAACACATGATATCCGTGCACCTTTTCTCACCGGCTGCATTGCATCGATTCACACACGCGCTCAACATTTCCAAAGACATCACACATCACGTGGTTGACTACACACCTTGAGAGTTCTCGCCACGTGCAGAAGCTATTGTAGGCTGTACACGACGCCGCCATCTCACAGTTCTTCCAGAGAAGGGAGAAGATGACGAACAAATTTCGCGCGCACTTGTTCGCTCGATACCGAGATGAGGTATGTAGGGAGTTCACTCAATGCTGAGCTCATGTCTCACACATGGCGCCGCTCAGCCACCTACAACTGACGCATCCTCTCAAGAGAAAGATTGCCCCGCGGACCGACCTCTTGCAGCAGCGGCCCGCAAGCCACTGAGCATCAATCACATCGACACGAATGGCTCCCATTCACTTATGTCCCAGGAAAGTTCTCGGCTAGCAGACTCCACATCGCCATACTCAGCGATCGCACTGGTCAGCGTTGTGCTTACAAAACTGAAGCCACAGCGTCAGGTGTACGAGCAAACTTCCTCATACTGCCAACAATGTCCGCTCTTTCGCACGCTGTCCAGCGATGCGGCATATGTCTGCCTGTGTCCGGTCACTTGCATGGCAAGCCCATCAGACATGATGATGAATCACATTCGTATTCTGTTCACCGCAACAAGCCACGATGAGCTCCAACAAACGCCTCGAGCGAGAGGAGATGACAGAGGAAATCAAGAGCACTGGAGAATTGAGGTATAAAACCCCCAAGGAAGGATGTGTTTGGAAGGACAACCACGACAGCATCTTCTACAGTATCACTACATTCAATATCTTTTAGCTCCACCAAAAACCCAAATCTTCAAGATGCAGTTCACCTCCACCATCGTCGCCGCCATCATGGCCTCAGTTGCCGTTGCTCAGATCTCGCTTGAGAACGTTGCCTCTTGTACGTCCCTTCCCCATCTACGCAGACTACCGTTCCCACTGACGTTCACCCCTCAGTCGAGGCCTACGCCAACGCCGACTGCGCGCCCCAAGCTCTGCAGCAGCAGAACATCCACAGCAACGAATGTGTATTCCTGCCCTTGCAGAGTGCCCGCGTCTTCTTCTTGGAGAAGACTCGTGCCAACTGCCGCCGTGAGTCGCGACAACGTTTATTGTGAATGATCGGGATCTAATGGGAATAGTCGAGTTCTACACCTCCAACGATTGCTCTGGTACGCCAACCGACACCTTCACCACTGCTCCCAGCGACTGCATCAATGTATCGCAGAAGTTTTCTTACCAGGCTATTTGCTCTTAAGCTGGTCATCCCGTTTACGCTTATGATGGAGACCGAGTGACGACTTGGTGATTAGAGGGAGAGGAGCTGGCAACAGCGTGCATAACTGAGAGGGCGTGTTCAGAACACAGTCATTACAATATCTTTTCGATCCGACTTATTAGATCTAGTCTAGCTCGTTTGCCGTGTTCAACACACGGTGCGAACTAAGCTATATTGAAATATATTGGGTCGCTACTATCGCCATCTTCGAGTGAAACGTGACCTTCGCTAAGGCGTTATGTGATGTGAGCAGGCAGAAAAAACGATCGGAGAATTCCAGTTGTATGATGTGCTACTTCCATATAAAGCAAGTGCTTACTGTAAGGAGATTTGACCGAGCAATATATGAAGAGAATGTCTCTGCCAAGTTCCTTCTACTACAACCCAAGGATTAGGTGAGAGGAAGTCGTCTGGGAGTATAGAGAAGACATTGGTCGTATACTCAAGTCACATGGATTTGACCTGGAGATACCAAGACGTCGATGGTCGAAGCTGGTTGTCTGTTGTCTCGCTGTTCCCATAATTATTGCGAGAAAGCACATATAAAGCCACTCCAAATAACACCTCTACAGTTCATCACTCTCAACACAATCATCGCGATCATCCTGAACTCATCCGCATCTTCAATCATGCATTTCCTCACCATCACCTTCGCACTCGCAGCAACAACCCTCGCCTCTCCCCTCACGCCCACCCGCCGCAGTCCCGTCCCCAACCCCATCCCCAACGCCGGCTCTTTCACATCATGGTCGTGCGTTGACTGCGCTGCCAACAATCCCTGTCTCTCCTTTCCACACGACAACATTGTGTCTGATGAGTGTTATCCGCTCGAGCCAAATCAGGCAAGTCTGCAATTACTACGCATCGCTCTTCGGGGCTGCGAGTGTAAGTAAATTTTGTCCTAGCATGATGACTGCGGTGGCTGATGAGGTGTGTAGTGCAACTCTTTGACTCGGTGGATTGTTCGGAAGAGGCCGGTGCGCCGTATGTGCTTAGTGAGCCGCCGACGTGTGATCCTGTGCCGGTGTTTAAGAGGGGGTATAAGATTGTTTGTTAGAGAGTCGGGGTATGGTTCTTGGGGGGAGTCGATAGGTTGGAAGGACGTTTTGAAGGCTTTTGGCGTTGTTGCTAGCTATTGTTTGTTGGTATGTTAGTCGGATAGAACGAGTCTGGGTTGTCATTAGTTCGACACGTAATGATACCAGACCCTTAGACTCCTAGGCTTTTCGTGGACGGTTTTCAAATCTTTCGGGTCTTGCGCGTGATAAAGGACTCACAGCGTGGTGATAACTTCGTTAATGGAATTATCAAGATCAAGGCAGTCTTGCAGATGCCCTGATAACGGAACGATCTCCGGTTCAGTAGGATGTTTGTTGGGCGACTACGTTGGTCCGTCTACCAAAGCATACTGATCTAAATTCAGTTACACGGCGTTCAAAGTTTGTCACAACACCAGACCTTGGGTTTCGGCGTTGCTGAAAGAGTTGCAAAGGTTTGCGTCTATGTCGGTGATGACGCACGGAACTACCTTCTCCCTTCGCATCCATCATGGTACTTTCTCGTATCTTTATTAAATTCCGACCGCTCACATAGCTTAAACCCTAACAGCAACTTGTTTGCTACCATTGAAGTGGCTCCGAGAACGTAAGCTAGTTCTGAATGACCGTAGGTGAGTATGCCAGAGATCGAGTATGATTTTGCAGCTGCGAGAGCTGACGCTTTCCACACCCTCTTATTCGAGTCTGCAGCTGGAGATTTGCCGCGAGATAACTTCTTACGCTTAGACTGCATGAAACGCATCACCCATGCCAAGAATCCGTATCGCAGTTCATCTCTTATCACCACTCCGACTTGCGATCCGAAAGTTTCGGGGTTGGGTAAGCATCTCGTGGCATTGTTGCCAAAGGCGTAACAGGCCGCTGCACCTGGGCCCCAACAAACGCCACACCTCCATCCCCATGGACTCGGCAACAAGTAGCCGCCAAACAAAAGATCAGTAATGCGCATTACGATCGGACAAGACTCGCGCCAGCCTCTGAGAATCGGGTCATTGAAAGGGCCGAACAGTTCGGTGATGTAGCGCAGTCATCGGACGGGCGCCCCGGTACCACCTACGTCATGGACTCCTTGAGCAGAGCCGCATCCGCATTGGGGTCAGGAACAACGTCTTTTGCTCCACACAAGCGGCGCCTGGCACATGGAAATCCATATCATTCCGACACGTTCCAGACGCACGTCTCACTATTGCGGACATTTCGGCAGTCCTGCAACAGTGGTGGGATGATTGGCCGATGCTGTCCGAGGCGTCCTCTGGATTTCGCAGCTCAATATTTCTTTTGCAATGTGCAGGTATAGGCTGCATGCTGTGCCGACAACACGTAATCGCGACGACGTAGCCTATATTAATCAGCTGCATCACAGCTGACAACACCGCGAAGATGCAGCATGAGGAAGTGACTATACCGGAATTGGCAGATCTCGAAATTGTCATGCTGGAGATGCGACCCACAAAACCACGTTTTCTAGTGGCGGTCGACGCACCCAATGTGTAAGGCACGGCGATATCCAGACCCTGGACCCAAAGACCCTGTGCATTATCAATACGCGACGTCATGGGGGAGAAGTTTTCGAACGTAGCTCCAGCGACATTCATGGCACATGTAAGAATGAGCTGTAGGTTGGCTCTAATCATATATAACAGTAAGTCGCGGTAGTCTTTGTGAACATAGCAATCAACTTCACATCAACTTTTATCACTTTTGCAACAAGATACCCAAAAGTTTTTCCATTACATCACCTTTCAACGTATACTACATCACAACACACCACCATCAAGATGCCTTCTTTCACCGTCTACAAGGGCTCCAAGGAGAGCAAGATTGTCAAGTCGCAAACCACTAAGCCCGACCTCGAGAACGACCAGGTTCTCATCAAAGTAACCGCCTCCGGCCTCTGCGGAACCGATGAGCACTACAAGGGCGCCGACATGGCCCTCGGCCACGAGGGTGTCGGTGTCGTAGAGGAGCTTGGACCCAACGTGCAGGACTTGAAGAAGGGCGACCGCGTTGGATGGGGTTACGAGCATAACTCCTGCGGCCGCTGCGACAAGTGCCTCACAGGCCAGGAAACCTACTGCAGCGAGCGCCAAATGTACGGCATGGCCAACCTCGACCAGGGCAGCTTTGCTTCCCACTCCGTCCAGCGCGAGGCCTTCGTTTTCAAGGTACCCGATGAGCTCACCGACGCCGAAGCCGCACCCCTGATGTGCGGTGGAGCCACCGTCTTCAACGCTCTGCACACCTACAACGTCAAGCCCACCGACCGCGTCGGTGTCATGGGTGTTGGCGGTCTCGGCCACTTGGCCATCCAGTACGCCGCCAAGATGGGTTGCGACGTCGTCGTCTTCTCTGGATCCGAGAGCAAGAAGGACGAGGCCATGAAGCTCGGCGCAAAGGAGTTCATCGCCATGAAGGGCAAGTCTGAGATCAGCGTCAGCCGCCCTGTTGACGCTCTCCTTGTCACCACTTCTGTCATGCCCGACTGGAAGCTCATGCTCCCTGTTCTCAACAACAACGCTATCATCTTCCCCATGACCGTTTCCGATGACGACTTTGCTATCAACCACATGGCTCTTATCGCCAAGGGTATCACTGTTCAGGGCTCTGTTGTTGCCGCCCGCGCTGTTCACCGCAGCATGTTGGCTTTCTCCGCGCTACACGGTATTAAGCCTATCACCATGGAGTTCCCGCTGACCGAGAGTGGTATCGAGGAGGCAATGGCCACTCTCAGGGATGGAAAGATGAGGTACCGTGGTGTGCTTAAGCCCCAGTAGATGGATGACTTTGGATGGAAAGATGGTAATGGAAAGGTTAATGAGCGGTGTATGACTATTAGATACCGATGACAGACTTACGAATCTCATTTGTTTGAACGTATATTATGCCCCCCTACGAACGTGATGTTTATCAAAAGGGGTTTTGTACTATTGTAAAGGTTTCGAGGCAGTGTGGTTCGCGATGATTCTTTACATGTGTCTCATGTCCCGAAGGTTCAATGTAAGATGCCAAGGCCTCTACAGCCTTCTATCCAGACTAATGGATCTCCAGCCACGGGTATCTAACAGCCCAAGTCAACGCAAGACGTCCATCTATGCTGGAAACAAGCGGATAAGCACCGGTAGAATATCCCTTGGCTCCATCTTCTGCAAAGCCGCAATAGCAGATCTCACATCCGTGACCAGTGTCCCTTCGACCTCAGTTGCACCACGTTTGACCCCTTTCCCATCCTGTCCCCTAGCCTCATTGGTCTGCGGTACGTACGGAGCCAGAAGCGCTTGCAACAGTTCATTACCACTATTTCCCTCGCCTTCTCCCCGCCCAGGCAACACTAAGTTTGCCTTATCGACATTCCCATCCTCGCTCTTCACCCCCTCAGCACGCACACCCATCTCCCTCTTCCCGGGCACCACCCCACCAACAAACTTGCCAACCTTCCTCTCGTACCGCTCCCTACCCAACCGTGACTCTGCAACACGCAACTCAGCCTCCCACTCTTTGCTCAGCTTCTTCATAGCGTTCTTGAGCAGCTTCTTCTGCGCACCACCAAACACAGTAAATAACTCCCATGGTCCTGTCTTCCAGGTCAAGATAAATGACTCTCGTGCAGCGAAGCTGGAGGTGGGTGTGTTGTGGTGCTCGATGACGGCGGCGAGGTATTGCTTTATGAAACGGATGGCAGCGGAAGGGATGGGTGCGTGGGTCGGTGTTGTTACTCGTCCGGGGCGATATGAGTCTATGGTTCCACGACGACGATCGAGTACTCCTGCTTCGCTGTATGCAG